AGCACCACGAGCACAGGTTGCTGTGGCTGGGGCAAACACTGCAGTGGCAGATGGGACAGTCCTGCTACCCATGTAAAAACACACAGAAACCCCCTGGGATGGACACCTGCCTGTTCCTACAGGTGAGGGCTGGCTGTGCCAGCCTTCCTTCTCATGCCCTGAAGAGCAAACAGCAGGAGGGTGAGCAGGGACACAGGAGGCCCTGGATCAGGTGGAGGGACTGCAAGAGCATCTTCCCCACAAAGGGGGATGTCACCTCCCAGCAGCACAAATGGCAAGTCAATGGAGGAAAGGGAGGGACTTCTTCTGCCTCGGAGAACTCCCTTGTCCCTGCTTTCCCCCCTGCAGTTATGTCTCCTCTTTGAACCTGTACATTAAAAGACAAATCAGGGTGCGACAGCCTGGCCCTGCTGGGAGGAGCTGGCAGCCAGGCTGTGCTCCTTGCTGGCACCTCCCCCAGGGCACTTGCAGAGGGCTCATCCAGCCCAATGGTGTCAGCTGGAGTTGAGGGAGGATCCCAGGTGTCCCCAAGGCCAGGTAGGCAGCATGTCACCTTCTTGCCTGTCCCTGGTGGTGCTGCAGTGGGGCCACAGCAGGGCTGGCACCCGGGGACAGCTCAGCCTGAAAAACAACCCGCCTTGCTCTCTTCCTTCCCACATCCTGAGCAGTGACTTTAAAGAACTGCGAGCTGTGCTCTTTGGGGACACGTGGGGGGAAGGGGAGAGGAGGTTCACAAAGCTGCCCAGGCTGGGATTGCTCCTTAAGCATCTAAGGGGAATTCCAGCTTCTCCACCCACACACCTTTGCACTGAAACAAGTGAGGGGGCAGCTCGTCCTCTGTAGCATCAGCTGTCACTTGTGTTACACACAGGTTTGTTGTTTTAAGGGTGTACACGGTATGAGAAAGGAGGCAGCCCTGAAATAGCCCCAAAGCCTGATTTACAGCATAGGCACGTATTTAAGGCACTGGCCTTATCCTTAATTTCCCTCCTTGCCCATCTCAGAGCAGCATCCAGGGTGTGGAGGGCTCAGCCTTGCTGCTGGAGCAAGGGCAGGTTGGTGAGGGGTGGTTTAGCTGCAGAGCCCCCTGCTCTGTGTGTGTGCTGGCATGGTGCTGGTCCCCCCTGCAGTGGGGCTGTGTCTGCCTTGAAAAAGGCTCTTGCTGGAGGCAGCAAGTGCCCAGGAGCTGCTGGGGGAGCTGCACGGAGTCTGTGCCTTGACAGTGCACCCAGGCCAGGGTTTAATGAGCTCAGGCCCTATAAAAAGCTGCTGGGAGGTGCTGAGCATTAGCAGGTTGGGAGCCTCCCCCATGGAGGTCGCCCAGCCCTTGGGGGGAGGCTCATTATTTGCCTCCTGGAGAGGAGGCCAAGGCAGAATTTGCTTTTCCCACTTGGACACTTACTCCCTGGTGCTGGTATTTCTTGGGTCTCCTTTTTGCAAAGAAATGAAGCAGGGGTGGGAGGAACCTTTGCAGGTTGGGGGGGTGTTGGGTTTCTCTAGGTGTCAGCAGGCAGGGAGACCAAGTACACAGGCAGTGAGTATGAAATAGCACCACTTGTACCCACAGCTCTCAGACAGAGAGATGCTTTTCTTGATCCACTATAATGGAGCAATTCAGCTCCTGGAGGCCTCCCCCTCCTCTTCCCCTCTCCTGCTGCAGCTCTGGCTTTATTCAGCCCCAGAGGAGCAGGTCCATGGTCTGCCTGTACCCACACAGGGCTGTGTCCTTTGGACACCCTGAATCTTCCCCACTGCACACACAGCTCTGTCCTCTGGGTGGGTTGTGACTTCTTGGTTTTCTTCATTCCCTTTCAATCCTACTTGTACCTGAGTTGAACCCGTGCAGGGAGCTGGCTGTAATTTCCAGCTGACCTTACTTTTGGCAGCTTGTTAGTGAGCTAGAAGGCACTGCAGGGAATTCCTGGCTGCTCCACGTGCTTCCTTTGCTGGCAGATTTCTTGCACGAAATTGCTACAAAGGGG